ATATATACATATATGCTACTCTACAAGTCTTACCATTCAATTTGATTATCAAACTAATTAATTCGCTTCTTTTTTTTTTTTTTTTAAGTAATTAAATCTTTATTAAATCTCAATTTTTCGGTGATTATTATTCAATATCTTTTTTGTCTTTTTTGCTGTTGTTTCTTTCTGTTGTTGTTCTTACAATTTCATTCTGTGTTTTCTTTCTGCTAAGCTTAATTTGCTAAGTTACTTAACGAGTCGCTCTGCAAATCTTCACAACGGCTGCTGCCTTTTAAGAGGCGTTTACAAATTTTCAATTTCTTTTGTTCTTTTCTTAAGATCTTACCAAGTGCTAATAGCTGCTGGCTCTGGCGGCTGTTTGCTTTGTGTTTTTTCTTGTGGTGTTCTTATTATTGCTACATTTCATTTTCATTTATTTGTTGTTCATTTTTTGCAACTGCAAATTTTTGTTAATTTTGTTTTTCTTTCTTTTTTTTTTTAGAGTTTTGTGAACAGAATGCGAAAGGACAGTGTGAAATGCTGTACACAAAACGAAACTTTTCGCTAGTTTTGGATAGGTAGGCTCTCAATCAACGCGGGGGCTCCTCATGTTGTTGTTGTTGTAATGTTGTTGTTGGTTTTATAGTACACTATAAATCGACTCGATAGAAAAAGTGTAAATTATGCTATCCCATATTGATAGTTGTATGTATATAGCATGCTTCCTCATCTCATATAAATAGTTGTATACATATATACTATATATAGTTTGTATAGATATTTAATGTATATATAATGTATATATAGTTGCAATTAATATTGCTTAACTCTGACAATGCAACGCTTTGAAGCTAAAGACAGAGAGTTGGGAGAGACAGAGTTGCCAATATATGTAGATATCGATTCGCTTTGAACTCTGGGCCAAGTCACTCAAAATCAAGCAAAAGCTTTGCTAACTGAGCCAAAAATTGCTGTTGACTGCCCTGAAACAAGTTTTATTTACTCATTATTTACTTTAGTCTATTTTTGTGTTTCTTTTATTTTAAAATTGTTTGTATCTGTGTGTGTGTGTTTTGCTTTAGAAATATGAAACTTGCAAAGGAAGCGCCTTTTTTTCTTTAATTTTTTTTCGCATTTGCTTTGTATTTGTTTTTTTCTGTCGTTTTTTTCCATTTTGTTTTCTTATTATTTTTAGAGCTTAATCATGAAATTCATTTCATGCTAAATGTCCTTTGAAACTGCTTTTTATTTTGTATCATTATTTTTGTTACCATTAAATTTAAGATATTCACGAGCACGCGCGAGCATTTCAATTTGCATTTAGTTTTTTCGCTTTTGTTGTTTCTTTCTTTCTGCAAATTTTTTACAATTAGGAATTTTTGTTCATTTTCATTTTGGATTATTCATAACTATTTGAATGCTGGAGTAAAAGTTTCAGTATCTCATTTTAAATGTTTCGTAACTATTCGCAATTTGCTTTACAAAATAGATATTTGCATGCAACATTTGTTGTTGATGCTTTATTTTTATTTATTTATTTTTCATTTTTTTGTATTTTTATTTTGGTTCCTTCTGCCTCTAAAATCTTATGTTTTATAAATTGTTACCGTTGTGTTTGTTCACTAGAAAAATCATCAATCTGGGTCCAACTTGCTTCAGTTTGTTATTCCTGATATTTTGTTGCCATATTTAAATAGAAATATTATCAATCTGCTTGACTTTACTTATCATTTGAGCATTTTTTTTTTTTCTCTTTTACTTTGCTTTGCCTTTTTCATTGTGTTCTAAAGTTTCGAGTGTGTGTATGTTAGTTCATGGCATTTCCTATCTGTTATCGATAAGTTCTTTATGTTCTTAACGCAATTTGGCGATATGTATGTACATGTTATATACAAATCAAAAAGGGGGCGGGGGAGAGGATGTGGACATACTAACTTATATAATAATATAAACTGAAATAAAATAATAAGAATCATTTGCTCGAATGTCTTTCAAAGTATTTGAATTTATTTTTAAATAATTTTTTGTTATGGTTAATTTTTTGTTTTCTCTATGTTTTTAAGCTTTTTACAATAATAATAATTTTAAAAATATATATTATATTCTTTAGAACTGTTTGCATTTCTTGTATAATTTATAATAATATTTGTGGTTTTGCTTTTTCGTATTTTATTCATATTTTGCTTAATTCGAAAATCTAAAAATTTATGGAAATCAGCAGTAAAAGTAAAATTGATGCTTAAAATTTAAGAATTTCTCTTTCTCTCTCATTGAAATTGTTGTTAGTTTTGCTTGACTTGTTTGCTGTTGGTTGAATATAATTTAGTGTAAACATATTTGCTCTCTGTTATATAATATAATACATAATTGCCTTGACTGAAAAATATTAACAAATCGATTTACAAAAAAAAATCATCTACACAAAAGACGAATTTCACATATTTTGATTTGCATTTTTCGGAAAAGGGAAGGGGAAGGGGAAGGGAGGGGCCGTATCGAAAAGAATTTATTTACACACAATCAACAAAAAATAATGATATAATTGAAGAGTTCAACATAGGAAATACTACGTACAGAATAGAACTTAAAATTAGAAAACCAAAGCGGAATTCGCATTTAACAGAAGATCCTAATAATTAAAACTGTTTAATTTGATTTGCTTCCTTCTCTTCTTCTTCCTTTAACTATTTCTTGCCATTTGAAATTTGTTTTTATATATTTATTATAATCTTCTTTTTTTTTTGCATTACTTGTTTTTCTTCTTATTGTGTTTCAACGCTTTTTTATTTCCTCTTTTTTTTAGTTTTTATTTTTTTTNGGCAAAAACTGAGAGAGCTTGGCTGGGAAGTTTTGATGTATCCACCATATAGCCCTGACCTTGCACCTTCGGACTACCATTTATTTCGGTCAATGCAGAACTCCCTTAATGGAGTAAAGTTGGCTTCAAGAGAAGCCTGTGAAAATTACTTGGAGCAGTTTTTCAAAGAGAAACCACGAATGTTTTACACGAATGGAATTATGTCTCTGGTGGAAAAATGGCAAAAGGTGGCCGACCAAAATGGTGCATATTTGATTTAATAAAGTTTATTATAAATATTAAAAAATATGATTTGAAGTTTCACTACAAATACGAAAAGACTTTTTAGACTACCCAATATATCATGTTTTTTTTTTCTTTTCAAGTAAAGCAGAGCTAACTTTTATAGAGAAAACTAAAATTTCAACTAGGTGGCAACGCAATTTTGTGACAATGAATAAATGCTGCATAATGTTTACCTATCTGGCAACGCTTTTTCAATTTTATATATAATTGTTGAATAATGTTGTAGTACAATATATAAAATGTTATATTTTATACTCATTTTAAATCCCCAAAAACTTATTCAATCCAGCTCTGACGGAAAAAAAGCTGAAATGGCATTCGAGCTGTAGTCGCAGCTCAGCCACATAAATTTCTGACCATTTGCTGCTGCTTGCATTTTGGCTGCTTGTCTAATTTGCTGCTGCAGCCTCCTGCTCAGTCGCAGGAGTCGTAAGCGCTTAGTGAGTTAGGGCAAAGCGTCGCATGGAGCTTTAAACCTAGACTCGAAGAGTTGGCCTCAAAATCCAAAGGCCATTATAAAAGTTGAGCGGCAGCAGCTAGCGGGAAAGAGGCAGAAAAACTGGCCACTGCAAAACTGGCAAAACTGGCAAAAAAAAAAAAAAAAAAAACTATGGACGACCAACGACAAAATGCAGTTACCAAACGCAAAAGTCCTTTGTGGCAACAGCACGAACAATGGGGCACTAGTGGAGGCGGCAGCAAAGCTGACGCAAGTGGCACATGTGAAGCTGCCACTGCCTCTGCCACTGCCACTGCCACTGCTTGACGTGGGGATTGGTCAGCGGCGGCTGTGAGCAGTGCACGTGACACTTCATTGGGCATTTGGCAATTTGGTGAGCTTGGCGCAATTGTTGAATTTGCTTTGGGTCTGTGGCCAAGGACGGGAATGAATTGTGGTTGCTGGCAATCGTTGTGGTTGTGGCGGTGCTGGTGGTGGTGGTTGTGGTGGTGTTAGTGGCGATTGGGTTTAATTACCTCGTCAGATGGCGACTGCCCTCGTGGACTGCCATTTCGGAGGACTTGAACTCGTTCAGCTCCTTGCGTATGGCGGCCTTGTCCTTTGGCGTCAGTCTTGTCCATGGCTTGTCCGCCCGT